GTCATCATCAGCCCTGTGTGATTTGTAAAAATCCAAACCCAAATTTGAACCCACACAGGTGAGAGTGTGTATGGAAATTTGAGATTTTATTAGTTTTATGGTTTCTAGGTGAAGTATTCTTTGGGTCATATGTTTTATAGAACTAGAAGCAAAATTAAAAAAAGTTTCTAATTTACTATTTAATCTTATATATTGTAGGAAAATTAGTGATTTGTCAGTGTACACACCCTTTTATATGCCCTTGCTCATATATATTTTTATGGTTTCTAGGTGAAGTATTCTTTGGGTCATATGTTTTGTAGAACTAGAAGCAAAATTAAAAAGAGTTTGTTATTTACTATTTAATTTTGTAGATCGCCCAGGAAAAATATATTGTAATCTGTAGGCTACAGGAATATTTTTTATATTACCGGATATTATATCAGTTATTATGAGTAAAGTGATTAATCGGGCATAAAACTATTTGATAACTACAGAAATAATCTAATTGACCGGACTTTATTTATAATGCCCATTATCTATCGGGCAGAATTTAAAATTATATTTTACTACGGTACTATTTTTATTTCTATATAATACAATACAATTTTTATCAGCTCAGAATTAGAATAAGCAACATTACGTCTTGTCTATAGATATAAAGATAGAAAAAGATATAATTATTAATTTAATTACACCATCTATTTAAAGGCATTGAATTTCAAAAAAAAAGACTACGCTGCGTTTTGCGTTCGTCTTTTAGGTTACTCTTTTTTAGATTACAGAAATCACAATGCCTATAAGTAGCTCGTTGGCGTAGTGGATAAGCGCCGCGGCCCGCGATCGTTGTCGTTAAGCAACTTTCGCAAGGGTCGGTCACGGGATGGGTGACCAAAAAATTATTATCTCGAGCTACTCTGTGCTTCGGAAGACACGTTAAGCCGTTGGTCCCGGCTGCATTTGCAGTCGTTAATACCCTTCAATCCGCATTGGGCCAGCGTGGAGGGTCATGGCCCATCCTCCTTAACCATCTATAAGGAAGGCCTGAGCCCCTGCAGTGGGGACGTAAAAGGGCTGATGATAATGATGATGAATGCCTATAAAATATTTAACTTGATGTGTTAGCTTTAAGGATTTCAATTCTTTTGTTTTCTAATAACTAGCCTCTTCCGTAAGAACAATTGCTGTCTTTCTCTGCTTGCTCTCTTTCTCGGCGCCTCGTACAATCCTATGTAAATATAATGTATTTTTATTAGATTGCATGAACAACGCTTGGCAATATGGTATTCATTAATTCATGGCAATATGATAAATAAAGAAATTCAAATCATACTTATTCATTTTGTCATTATCAATCAATCATCATTAGCATTTTGGATAATGCCCTAATATGCCATCTGTTCCAAAACATATTATATATAACGGCGGGTAGTCAGAAGGTGCTATTGCGAAGCCCAAATAGATAGTCCATATCGAAGGACTATCTTTAAAATAACACTGCAGGCGTGTATACCAACGTGGATTTGTTCCATTTTATCACTTTTTATACGAAAATATAACGAGATGAGCGTGATGTCGTCGGATGTCTTTACTCCTCGGCGATCGGAAACAAAATGTGTGCCAAAATGGCGGCAACTTGATTTTTATTAACGAACTGTCAAAGTCAGTAAACCATTCTCATAGAGTAAGGTAGTGCTCTATGAGAATGGTTGGTTGTGCGTCATCAATATCCCGCAAACCGAGCAATATTACGTTTCACCGGTAAGTTAAACACTTTCTTGGAATAACAGTATTTAAAACGTAAGTAAGTTATTCTGAAAATGATTGCGTGTATAAATCGATACATACCGTATTTTGGCGTGTTCTATTTATGCTATATTGCTCTTTTCGTTTATATTTTTATAATATTTCGGTCCGTAAATAATATTGTTTACATGGCTAGTGTCGTTACTTTAACATATGGTTTATATCGATAATTTTAATATTTAAAAAAAATATATTAATTATTTTAGATTACCAAAAGATGAAACAAAAGAGGAAAATGGCCGAGTTACATAGAAGCAGAAAATATTAAATGTAATGAAAAAGTTACTTTTATCTGCTCACTTCATTTTAGGGATTAGTTGTTTGAATCGAACTTTAAATATAATAAAATTACGAGATGATGCATTGCCAATCAAATACTCTGGTAAGAATTTTTGACAATTGCTTTTAACTTATTTAAAAAAAAATGTCTATTACACTTAGTTAATTTTCATTTGATTTTACTGATTTATTTATTTAGTTTTTTATATAGTCATTTTGTTATTCTATAAATGTACCTTATTTTTAGTCTTGCGGTCATATGACGACTATTTTAATTGAAAAAAATCAGAATGCAATATATAATAATATTAAAATATAAAATTCTGATCATAATATACTCCCAGTAAAATATACAATAAAATGAGTTAAATAATTTTAATAAAAATGAAAATATGCACACTTATCAAATTAAAGGCATAGTTAAAGGTTTTCTTTGCTGTTCAATAGTATAATCTTAATACCCAAATCATTATTTTGCGGCGTGGATGTTTATTTTGCTGATGCATCATAAAATACGCTACCTTTTTGAATTTAAATTGCTGACCGTTATCATGATTGTTCACAGAACATGAATTGCAGACTGTTTTAGTGCTGAGAAAATATTTGTATGCTTGCCTATTGATTAATCGGCTGTTTTCTTCTTGCAAACCAAATTTTTAAATAAAATGCCAATTGTTACTTCTTTAATAATGTCACTGTTATGCCAGTTGTTACTTATTCATCACCAATTTTGTTTTCTTTATTTTCTCTTGTTTTTTTTTGATGAATTCAAAGTTTACAGTATTTTTATGTTCTTTTACCAATAATATAATACAAAGATTATGTAGGTGTTTCAAGTTTTCTATGTTTACTACTAAACAAGATGTTCTGAACTAAAATTGTGACACAGTACGCACGGTATCTCACTTAATGAGGAGGAAGCGAAATTTATTCAGTCAAAACAATTTATTGAATAAATTTATAGACAAATTGGCTTACTAGTTACAAGCATATAAGAAAGTCGAAACTTTGTGCTTATAGTTCAGTAATCTATTACGGGAAACCTTGTACCGAGAAAAGAAGAAACTGTAAGAAAGGATCCGGTAAAAAACTGCAAGGGCTGCTTTTGCACCCTGTTTAATTTCGTACTGAAAAATAAAAAATGACTTCATTGGATCAAAAGTAGTTATCTTGGACAGTAGTCACACTTCCCGTTGATGCAAAATTAAATTTATGTTAAAAAAACTATTTAATTATAATTGCAAAATGTCAACTTGACAATATATATGGAAATAATTATAAAACACGATTGATATTATTGTAAAACTTTTAAGATATATATTTTGGTACTATAGTTCTTAAAACTATGTAAAATTGGCTATATTAGAGGAAAAAGAAACATATTTATCGAGGTACAATCATATTATTAAATAATATAAATGTGAAAGTTTGTGAGGATGGATGTTGGTTACTCTCATGTCAAAACTACTGAACGGATTTTGATGAAATTTGGAATACGAATAATCTTTTACCCGTGGGATGCGCCATCATACGCTGGTAACATAGGTTATATTTACTATACTGACGCAACGGAGTCGAAAGAACAAAGAACGCAAGAAAATTTAGATGTCCAACAAAATACGAGCAAAAGATTGCTTAATGATTTATGAATAATTGATAAATTTACGCCACTTTTAACACAATTTTTTTTTTCTTAAAACTGGCGTGAATTTATCAATTTAATTAATAATAATCATAAATAGAATTGGTACGTAAGTGTGAAATGAATAGAAGTGTAATAGGTAATAGTTTAGCCATGCGACTAACAATGAAAATTATATTACATTATTTAATAAGTAGTAGTATTGTAGCAGTTTCACGAAATACTAACTTTTATTTAATATGACTTCAATGTCGATACAAATATCGATATCATGGGTCGCGCCCTATGACAGTCCGCCATCGAAGAATTTGCATTGAAGTTTAGGCATATACGCTTTTTTCGTAGGTATGGCCGGTCCTCTTCTTTTATGTCTATGACCATTCTAATAAAATTAAAAGTATCGATGATCACGCTCTCTCTACAATCGAGTAATTAAGTAATATAGTAACTAGCAATTAAAATAAAAGAAACTAAATCAAACGATCTTCGTAAAGATGATGCGACATATATTAAGAGAAGGAAATACTGCAGTACTCTAATGGTCAGTTGCACAAACGTCCATTAAAATTTAATGACGTCTTTAAGCTCTAATGAATGTTAAATTAGTATGGGTAATGTCGAGTTAAACTAATGAAAATTTTAATAGACGTTTGTGCAACCGACTGTGAGTGTATTAATTTAAAAGTTAATGGAAATATTTTAATGTATTTTATGTATTGCATAAGATTAAACAATTGGCTAACTGCCTCTTTTTTATTGTCGTGAAATTATCGATATCGCTCATTCAATATCTACAAAGACGTCGCAATCGCAATTTCTATCACTTAACAAAGTGAACTTTGTGTATATCTTTCAAACGTCAAATTGAAATGGATCGCTATAAGTTTTAAAATTAGACCATCAGTGCCTCTCGCACTAACTTACCTCGTGACGTCCGATCCATATCTTTCTCGTACTTAATATGTGCAGTAACTTCAAAGGAAATACCTACTGCAATTAACATAATTTAAGACGTTCTTAAAATTTAATGGAAATTAAAGAAAATCAAAGACGAGTTTATTAAATTTTCTATAATGCAGAAATTCCTATTTATATTTACGATTTCTACGCTAACCTAATTTAATGAAAAAATGTTTGTTTCTTTCTTTAAATATAACAATTTTCACTTTGACATTTTGTCACTTCACTTCTAAAATTCACTTTTCACTTTTGAGTCTTCCCTAAATTGATTATACGTGTGACATCAAAACAAAATTGTCACTATGATTTTCGAATTTCGAATTGAAAGTACTTGTGTCCTTTTCACACGTCGTCTTCTCTTTCTTCCGGCCTGTGTCGTTGCAACACTGCCAACCTTTGCTGTGTCACTTCTAGGTGATGCTTCCGCCATTTTATGCGGCGATTTTGAAACCATACTTTGACCTGGAGAAAAATAATTATCGAGTACATTTATACGAATAATATTGAAAGGAAAGATTTGATTGTTTGTTTATTTGCATTTAATAAGCTCCGGAATGTAGAATCGAATCTAGAGTCGTGTAAAAATAACATCTAACTTCTCGATGATCGATGATCTCGGTCATGATTTTATAAATGTTTCTGTTGGTGATCAAATGTGTTAGCAACTTCGTGTCTTAGCAAATATCAGAAACTATATAAACTACAACTGTGTATTGAATTTTATTATTTATACAATTTATACCTCAATATTCCCACTGAAAAATATTATAGTTGGTATTTGTGAAGCGTGGTCACTACTGGCTTCATGTATGAGCTCAAGTCACTCAGAAAGCGAATGGAGAGAACAATGCTTTGAGTGTCTCAGAGAGATCTAATCAGAACCTAGGTGATTTGCGGGTGATCGTAGAAGAGATGGGCGGTGGAGTAATAATATCAACGCGTGGCTACGAAACGTAGAAAAAAGATCTTTTTTCCCGCAATGGTATACCCACTAAACACCTTTAGATAGGCAAGCACTAAAATTCGAAAAGTTTGAAACTTAGATATCAATACAAATACGAAAAAGTACAAATAGAATATGAGTTGTTTATCGAGATCATGAAAGAAAACCGAAGAGGTTGTCATGGAGAAATTCAGAACGTACCGTGGCGACATCTAGTTAGATTTCGGGAGCTAATTGACCACAGATCACCTGATGGTAAGCAATGCAGTGGTCTAAGATGGAGCGTGCTTGCCTAGAAGGAACCGATTCACTCTTGACTTGAAGAGTCCCAAATTGTTTTTGCCTTCCGTGGAAGGATGCCCTTTTGGGGGACGGGTCCGGGATCAGAGAGTGAAGGATTCAAGTCGTTCTATAAGAACGAATTATAAATTTTGTTAAAACTTGTTATTTGTATATAAATTCATTTGTAGTATATAGTTAATTTTATGCCGCTATCATGTTTTTCTGTCTCCCAAAGATTGACTGGTAGAGAATGCTATTAGAATTAAGTCTGCCTCTTGTACCAATTCAATGGTCGATAAAGTTTGTTAAATAAATAAATAATATTAGTATTTCGTAAACAGATAAAATTTGAAGGACTAGGTTCGTGAATGACCGATCGCCGTGATATTTGGGGGAGACTTTGATGCGTGGAGTGGTCTATCTAGATTTTTTACGAGATCGCTGCCATGTACCTTGTTTTTATTGAGTTCTCGATATTTCCACGCTGTTACAATCGCCATGATCACGGAGTAACTGGAGATTATGCTAGTGGGTGTCATATGCAGATATATCTATCTCCCCACTTTCCAGTGCCGAACTAACCTCATCGGAGGCCCGGATCGACAACTTTTCCAACCAGCCCTGCGGTTCTGTAAAAATCCAAACCCGAATTTGGATTCACTCAGGTATCAGAGTTCACTTCAAAACGCGGCATCCGCTCAATCTTGAATTGGTAATAGCATTTCCTGGCATAAATTAAATGAGTTTCGAGATGACGTAGGAATAGAATATCTCAGATATGTTTATTCAATTAATTTTGTTTTGTATTTTTATACGAAAGATGGAATATATATTAGATTTTTTCACTTAATGACGTGAATTCACTAAATGTTTCGAATTCGGGTTAGGATTTTCTACAGAATCGTCCAGACAGAAGGGCTACAGGGCAGAAACTTGATATTGCGTTTTCACCCTAAACGATGTGCGTTTTAAATTTATTATATAACTATGTTTTTGGCGATTAGCTGGCAACCCATTTGGAGGCTCTCCAGGACCGGAGCCCCGAGGCGGGTCGCCCCCTTCCCGCCCTTAGTCCGCCACTGCTTCTTTCGAGTCCGTTCGTTGTAACGTTCGATACCCGTACCACTGTTCCCTACGTGGCCAATAATTCACACAACACTCACTGTACCTATATGATCGCGAAACGACACTTATTAGGAGGAACTTGAACCCTATTACTAAGACTTCGCTGTCTGTCTGTCTGTCACCAGGCTTTATCTCATGAACTATGATAGTTACACAGTTGAAATTTTCGCTGATGATGTATTTTTGTTGCCGCTTCAACAACAAATACTAAAAACCAGAATAAAATATATTATTTAAAGGACCCGGAGGGGACCGGAAACAAGTAAAAATTTACGTATAGGAGCCCGTAATTTTTTACTTGTTTCTGGTCAGACTCGCGCACAAAGGGTTCGGTACACTTCGTGCGAGACTCCGACTCGCTCTTGGTCGGTTTTTATATTCATGTATTGGTTTTATCGAATACGAACTCACATATAAAAGGTACATGGTAGCAATCCCGTAAAAACCTAGCATTCTAGTGTCAATTGACCATGAAATCTTAAGAGATATATATCTAGTTTGTTATAAAACACCTGTGCCTCTGTAAGCTGTAATGCGTGAGCTAGATACAGTCTTTCTGGTCCAACCATGTACTGCTGCCGCTCAAACTCCGCTTCTAGCCGTTCCAGCTGTTCTGGTGTGAATATCGTCCGTATCCTCTTACTGCGACCCGAACTGCTGCAACAAACACATTTAGATAGTTGCAATAAGTTTTATTTAGCAACATTTAGTTGTATTAAATGTGGGTAAATCAAAATAAGTAAAAAAAAGTTTTAAACACAATATATACGCCGGTATTGGAAATATAAGTTCACATTACGGTGGTAGCGGGACCTGTAGCAAATTTTTCAACAACACTCCCCCCCCCCCCCAACATCGAAAAAAAAACTCGCCCTTTGCATTCCGAATAACAGGTAGTTTATAGTATTATAATAAAACATTGAGTTGAAATGTCACATGACGTTATACTCCTCAATAAAGTTGATAGTAAAGATGCCTATTATCTAAGCCATTTCTTGTTTAATTGAAACAAAAAAAAATATACGTATCTAATATTTTTCTATCATCCACAATTTTTGTTGTTTTCGATTGATATTGTTAAGCTTTTTGCCCTTGTTAAGTTTGACTAAAATAACAACTGCTATTATGATTTTTAAAATAATTAAACCTTATTTTCACAAAATAAAATATTTTGTCTCTCATTTCATTGTATTACTTTTGGCAGTGTTTTAAAAAAAATCCCTTTCCGTTTGTTATTGCGTTATTACAAAGTAAATGTTAGAATTTCATTTTTTTTTACATATTCCTAAATATTAACATATAAATTGACCTCTTCCAAAATTCAAGCAAAAAGAAATAAATAACTTAAAGTTATTAAATTATTATAACATATTTTAAAGATTATTCATAAATATTACAATAATTCATTAATAATTTATCTCTTGCATTTTGTACTATCTATACTTTCTATTTTCAAATGACGTCACGCGGGTATTATAAGCAATTTACGGGACTTTTAGCGGCGAGCCTAAAATTTTGTGCGAACTAATCAAACAAAATCAATATTTATTATTATTACAGTTGATTGCAACTGCAAAGTGACGTTATTAATTTGAAAAATATCAATTATTTAACATTTTTGTTCAAAGTAGGTAATTCATACCTCTTACAAGTTGACATTAAGCCAAATTTCCGCAATGGAAATTGACATCACCATCATTGTTTGGTATGGTTTAAAATCGAGTGAGGAAATTGACAGTTCTGTTTAACCTGACGTACTGTTGATTTTACTTTTACGACTGTACACTGAACACTATTTAACTGACGGACTAAATTATATTTCTTATTTTTACCAAATTACGAAAATGATTGGCAATTTACCTGTTAGAGCAAGATATGGGGTGACCTCTGGCTGTTTTTATTTGACCAACTTGTGACCTCAGCTCTACTCGATCGCTGTCTGAAATGTAAAAAGGTTTTTTTTTTAAACTAGCTATAATTAATATTTGCCACATTAACGACGTGTTCCGAATCGTATCAGACATAAGGCAATAGTTAATCTATATTACACTATATTACATACACCTCAAATGAGTGTAAAATGGACTATTTTTTCATTCTTGGTCTCAGAAACAAGAATATATTATTATATTTGATACATTTTGCAATTACAATGCTATACGAAAATTGCTTAAAATGCACTGTCTCCCTGGTACTCTGAGATGGGATCTCAGACTACCGGGGACAAAGTACATTTTCATTAATAAAAATATATCAATTAATAATTTTGACTAATTCAATGGTGCAGAAAGTGCAATGTTCTGTTCTGCCGGCCTCCAAAATTGCACCCATATTAAAAAACCCAAAATTGCAGAGAATGGATTTTCAAACGCGTAATTGTATTCTGAGCGCCTGGATTAAGCTGATGGTCAAACGAAAGGAAATATAAAATTAAATGTTATCTATATATCTTTAACGAAAAATACTTAAATATTTTTGCATAGATTTTGCAGACATGGAACTCGAACCAGAAACACGGGCGACTGCTCCAACCATTGAGCCACCCGATACCCAGTAGGACTGACGAATTTTTCAAGCACTTTTCGCTACTAGTGAGTGTATTTTCATCAATGTTCAGGCAATCCATCCAAACAGCCGAAAGATATATTTTTACAAATATTTTTAACTTTCAATTAAGATGAAAATTTGTTCTAATTCATTGTGATTAGCACAATGAATTTTGTTCGCGCCACTTGTAAAGTGACACTTTATTTTTCTTCTCATATATTTTCTGATGTCTATACCGCTGCACTAATACTGCTTGTCATTAAGGGGCAGTCTGCGATCGACCCTCGTCCATCGTGGTATACACTACGCTTTACGAGTGTGGGACCTGACTCCTCCGCAAGGATACCAGAGTCCTATGAAGCTGCGTACTAACAGCTTCTAACCGCATCGTGATTACGTCGTTCACTAATTTAATATCGAAGGCCGCGAGTGAGAAAGACTAAAATTGGTAAAGTGCTTGCACTGTGGATTATCTGCTGGGACATCCTGCCAGGAGTGAAGCTGTGTGGAAGTGCCCGTAATCGAGGTAATTGCATGTTTAATTAGTGCAGCGCTTAGATGTTAAGTTACTTCTCACTTTTTTCTTTTTTTTAATTTGAAACCGCGCTCGGCTATATTATTTAGCTGCCGCGGTGACAAATTTCATTGTGAAAATAAATATCTCCTTTAAAAAAATCACCAGCAACAGGTACCCCGAGATGTAATCCATTTTTTATTATAGGTATTTGACCTTATATAGCATTGTGAATGCTAAATTTATTAAACATAATAATGTTATCTTTTATAGTCGTATAGTTCGTAGTGGCCTCGAAATTTCCAAAATCAACAAACTTAATAATTATCTTCAGCTTAAACTATAAATTTCTCCTTATGTGCTAACATTTTTGATTAAAATTTGTACCAGAATAATTCATTTATAATTTTAAAGTTGACAAACTTTAAAGGAGGCCTTCGAAATGAGGGTGTACCGTTGCATTCTGAAGATCTCTTGGCGTGAAAAGGTAACCAAAGATTTCGAGCTCATTAAAACTATAAAGTGCCGCAAACTCTCTTATTTCGGCCACGTGATGAGGAATAACAAATACAGAGTTCTTCATCTCATTATTCAAGGGAAAATGGGGAAACGCAGTACTGGAAGAAGGCGAAATTCCGGGCTTACGAATTTAAGGGATTGGATTGGACGGTGCATTAAATCCCTGCCCGAGCCTCAGAAATACAGATAGCCATGATACTGTCATACCAAGAAGAAGAAGAATCTTAAAGTACTTTTTATCCTAATTGACAAGGTGACGCTGCATGTGCCGTTGCAGATGCAGATATAGGCGCGGCATCAATGTTTTCGACCTCCTGGCACGTGATATATCAGAGTCTATCCCTTTTCGTCCCTATAATTATGCCCAGTTGACGACCAGGAAGGTGCCACAAGGGAACTCCTAGACCGCCTCTTTAGTTGATTAATATGCCGATATGACTCCCTACCCATACTATCCCTTACTTTATAGTTAGTCGAACCGAGTTTTGATTGGACTTCAACAGAATTCCATTTATAGTTCTGACCATAGTTTCTAAAATATATAATAATATATTTGTCGTTTTCGAGTTTGACCTACACGTAAACTTCTGCCAGGTTTTAAACAATCTAATCAGGTCCTTAACCTTCTATTATGTACTATTTGTGCGGGGCTATCCCCAGTTGTGGAATGTGGTAAATTACGATATAATAATAAATATCTTTGGAGAGCCGTTTCCATTTACTGCAGCGCCATTTGAAGATAGATGATATGGCGCCGAAAAACACTGTTCGATACCATTATCTTCAAAGAAAGATGTTAAAGTCGCGCTGGAGAAAGGAGGTCCATTATCAGGCACGACCATGCGTGGCAATCCAAACGGAGCAAACAAATATTGAACAAATAAATTTTTTATTACTTCTGATGCAGTCGTACTTATCATTTTGAAAATTTCAATCCATTTTGAAGTCGAATCTACAACTACCAAAAATTTATAATTATTGATAGGATCTAAGAAAACGATATGTATACGTCGCCAAGATCGCGGACTCCAAGGCCAAGGACGAGGTTGGTGTGCAGGCGGCCTCAATCTGCTCGTCTAGACCCGCCCATCATACATAACTCCTATTCCTAAATGTGTTTCATGTAGCTCTCTAAGCACTTCCTCTTGACACTTTTCCGGTATAATAACCCTGTGACCCCACATAAGACATCCTAACTCTGAATATATTTCGTTTTTGCGGTTAAAATATGGCTGTAGTTGTTTGAGTTCTATCTCCACTGGTCAGCCGTCTTGAACATAACTACAAATTCTACCCAAAATGGGATCCTTCCTAGTTTCATTGCACAAATTTTTATAATCTAATTATAATGCACCTCTTGCAAAATGTAAATAAGTTTGTTCGGTAACAGACTCTTTAATAGCCTTTGTCTCGTGTAATAATAACGCATCTGCGTTATTTATATTAGTTTTTACATATTAAATATCAAAAGTATACGCTGACAAAATAATAGCCCATCGCTGGAGACGGTTCGTTGCAATACAAGGAACGCCCGCTTTCGGGCCGAAGATTGTAACTAGCGATTTATGATCCGTACGTAATAAAATAATTCCTGCCATATAAAAATTGGTGAAACTTTTTAACTGCATACACAATAGCTAGCGCTTCACATTGGATTTGACTATATTGTTGTTCGGCAGGCGTTAGCGTTCGCGACGCGTAACTGATAGCTCGTTCGTCACGCCCGCCCGCGTATCAGACTGAGTCAATACTGCCCTGCGATTCTATAAAAATCCAAACCCGAATTCTAATTCCCTCATGTGTCCTAATTCACGACATTTAGTACAGAAATTCTATTGTAACAGGAACATTCTGTCTATTCATATAAAATTGTTTTTAAAAAAAATATATTAAGACAGTCATCTTACTCTCTTGTTTGTTTTTCTGTCCGATATAATCTTTAAAAACCTTTACTAAAACTAAAAATTTTGTGGTTATGGTCCCTCCTTCCACCAAATCTTCGACCATCGTCGATATTGTAACGTCTTCTAGTTCAACGGTTGCAAAATTGAAAGGACGTGAAAATTACAACAACTGGTGCTCACTGGGGAGGCACACTGGAGAGCCGCCAAACGTGTACTAAGGAACTTAAAAGCCACGCGACAACTCGCTCTTATCTACACTAAGGACCAAACTCATCTTGTGGGATATGCTGACGCTGACTATGGCAGCAAGATTGTAGACAGATGTTCCTACACAGGCTACAGCTTCAAGCTTAGTGCTGCAGCTATGTCGTGGGAGTCACGCAAAGAGCGTACTGTTGCTTTGTCCACCACTGAAGCAGAATATATGGCTCTCGGAGAAGCTTGTAAAGAAGGTATATACTTAAAGTCCCTAATTAAAGAAGTGTTTAATAACGACCATTCCATTATCATTTTCACAGACAATCAAAGTGCACTGAAACTCACGCGAAATAGCACTTTTCATGCTCGTACTAAGCACATCCTTATCAGCCCTGCGATTCTGTAAAACTCCAACCCCGAATTCGAATTCCCTCAGGTGTCCGAATTGACTTCAAAAAGAAGCATACGCTCAAACTTGAATTGGTAATAACGTTTCGTAGCATAAGTGAAGTGAGTTTCGAAATGATGTAGGAATAGAATATCTGAGACACGTGTATTCAATCAATTTTGTTTTGTATTTTTATACAAAAAAAAAATGGAATCAATAGAATTTTTACACTAATTGAGTGAATTCGAATTCGGGTCTGGATTTTTACAGAATCGCAGGGCTGACATCATTTCATCCGTGACGCACTCATACAACACCAACTAAATATTGATTTTATTCCCACTAACAGTACGATTGCTGATGTATCAACTAAGCCCTTGGCTAGACCTTCTCACTGTAAATGTGTACAGTCTTTAAGTTTAACTTAGGTTTAGTATTTTATTATTATTTTGGGTTTTATATTTTAAGGTGTATTATATATTCGAGATGTCTAGGTAGGCGTTAGTTAATAAGTGTATGTACAGTGTAATTTTTGATATGTCATATTGCTTTCTTTAAATAGGTATTTGGATTACCTAAGTACAGAGTGTCCCTGTTACGGGGAAGTATTAAACCTACATGATTTTGTAATAGGAACACTCTGTCTATTCATATAATTGTATTTTGTTTTTTTTTTTAATATTAAGACTGTCATCTTACTCTCTTGTTTGTTTTTCTGTCCAATATAATCTTTAAAAACCTTTATTACAACTAAAAATGTAGTAAAACAAAATTGATTGAATATACCTGTCTCACATATTCTATTTATATGTCATTTCGAAACTCACTTCACTTATGCCACGAAACGTTATTACCAATTCAAGATTGAGCGGTTGCCACTCTTTGAAGTGGATTCGGACATCTGAGTGAATTCGAATTTATACAGAATCGTAGGGCAGCTCCCGCTTCGTGTGC